GAGGAGCCGTTCCAACGAGTAGCTATTGACATTCTAGGTCCCTTAGCTCGCCCCAGCAAATCTGGAAAGCGGTACATCCTGACCATCGTGGACTATGCTACTTGTTATCTCGAAGCAGTCGCCCTGTCCAGCATCACAGCTCCCAAAGTTGCAGAAGCCATGGTTACCATTTTCACCCGAGTGAGCTTCCCTGCTGAAATCCTGTAAGATCAGGGGACTCAGTTCATGTCAGGCCTTGTTCAGTCCCTCTGGCAGACCTGTGGAGTGTGGGCCATCCGGACAACCCCCTATCACCCCCAGACCAATGAACTGTGTGAATGCTTTAACGGGACCCTGAAGGTCATGCTACGGGCCTTTGTAGACCTAGAGCCAAACTGGGAACGATACCTGCCCCACCTCTTCCTTGCCTACCGAGAGGTGCCCCAGGAATCTGGATTTTCCCCCTTTGAACTGCTGTATGGGTGGAAAATCCACAGCCCCAGCCCCTGACCCTACTGAAGGAATACTGGGAGGGTCAACTACCAAATACCGGGGTCCCTGTGGTGCACTATGTCTTGGAACTGTGTGAAAAGATGGGACAACTAGCCAGCCTAGCAGCTGACCATCTCCAAGCAGCCCAGGTCCGGCAAAAGACATGGTATGACCGCAAGACACGCACCCGGGAGTTTACTGAAATCAAACAGGTCCTCATGATTTTCCCAAATCCCCAGAACAAATTGTAAACCACATGGGAGGGACCCTTCCATGTCATTAGGAAAGTGAATGACACAAACTATATTCTCGGACTAGATGATTGGGGGAGACGGCAGAAAAAGGTGCATGTCAATATGATCAAGGAGTACCATGACCGAAACCCCCTTGTTATGGCCGTCTGTTCAATACCCTCTGAGGAGGAGGAGGAGGAAGAGGCCGTACTGGACCTCCTGGAAGCAGCGCGTCATCCAACTGATGTGCACCAGGTGCCCCTGAGTCTGCAGCTGATCCCGGGGCAACAGAGGGCCATGAATGCTGTCCTGGGCCAGCGCAGTTCCACTTTTTCGGCCCAGCCTGGAAAGACCACTATCACCACTCACCATGTGGAGACCCTGGGAACCCAGCCCATCCAACAAGCCCCATATCGTGTCCCTGAAGCCGTTATGAACACTATGAGACAGGAACTGATCGAAATGCTGGATCTGGGAATTATTCAGCCCTCCCAGAGCCTCTGGGCCTCTCCTGTTGTTCTTGTCCCCAAGAAAGATGGTAGCATCCGATTTTGTGTTGACTACCGATGCCTCAATGACCACACGGTTAGTGACGCCTACCTGATACCCCGTATTGATGACCTGCTGGACCGGATGGCTGGAGCCCGCTATGTCACTACTCTGGACTTGAGCAAGGGCTACTGGCAAATCCCCTTATCTGCAGAGGGTCGGGAGCACTCTGCCTTCATCACCCCCTTCGGTCTGTTTGAGGTTCTCAACATGCCATTTGGCATGAAGAATGCTCCTGCCACCTTCCAGCGCACGGTGGACCAGCTGCTGTGGGGCTGTCATGACTTTGCCTGCGCCTACCTGGATGACATTGCCATCTTTAGAGAAACATGGGAAGACCACCTCCAGCATGTGGGTTTTGTCCTGGACCGAATTGCAGGGGCCAACCTCACCATTCGACCAGACAAGTGCCAGATGGGGATGGCGGAGGTGCAATATTTAGGACACCGGGTAGGAGAGGGTAAACTGCTTCCCCGAACCAGCTAAAATAGAAGCCATTAGGGAATGGCCCACCCCCCAGACTAAGAAACAGATTATGGCATTTCTGGGCACTGCTAACTATTACCGCAAATTTGTTCCTCAATTCAGCACGATTGCGAAGCCCCTTCACAGATCTCACCAAGAAGGCCATGCCTCGGATGGTAACCTGGACCCCGGCCTGCCAGACTGCATTTGATCGGCTGAAGGAGGCCCTTTCCCATGACCCCATCCTAGCAACGCCCAACTACCAGCGAAGGTTCCTCATACAGACGGATGCCTCTACCTATGGGCTGGGGGCCGTCCTCAGCCAGGTAAATGAGGAGGGGAAAGAGCACCCTGTGGCCTTCCTTAGCAGGAAACTATTAGACCGGGAGGTTGCCTATGCCACCATAGAAAAGGACTGCCTGGCCATAGTGTGGGCGTTGAAGAAACTTAAACCCTATTTGTATGGCAGGGAGTTCACCATCCTCACAGACCATAACCCCCTCACCTGGCTGAATCGGGTCTCTGGGGATAATGGCCGCCTCTTACGATGGAGCCTGGCCTTACAACCCTACAATTTCACTATCCAATACCGAAGGGGAAGTCAGCACCACAATGCAGATGGGCTGTCCCGTCAGCAAGAGGTTTCCCCTAGCAGCACTTGTAGAATGGAGGAGTTGTCACAGAGCTTGCTCTTCCCCCACATCCTCCAGGCTTGCTGCCTGCCACCCCCACACCACTCAGCAGCCCCTTACTCTTCTGTCCCGTCCTTGCTGGGACTTCTAGACCTCCATGTCCCTGACACAGGCAGCCCTCAGCAGCCCCTCACCCCCCTCACTTGCAGTCTGGCCCCCTGCTGAAGGAATCCACAAACAAGCCCCCTCCTCCCTTCCCCCTCATGCACATCTTCCCAGGCTTCCCTGGGCTGGTCCAGAGACCTGGGAGACAGGGCACGTTGCCATGGTAACCCGACAGGAAGTCTCCGGTTACCAACAAGGCGCCCAGCTATATACTTAAGGGTGAGCAAGAAAAAAAACCCCTTCTGTTCTCCTGGCTGTGTGTGTGAGGGAAGACTGTGCTGAGTGCCAGCTTCTCTCATACGACCATCCCCCGTCCTCCTCCTCATCTCCCTGGCTGACTGGACTGTCCGTCTGCTGCTGGATCCTCTCCTGTGTGGGGAGAACTCTCTGCTGCCTGGAACCCCTTCCCTGGCTGGACTTACTTCTTGTTCCCTGTGAGCCTGTGGGGCTGGACATTTTCCCTGCCTGGATTTAACTCTTTGTTGCCCGTGAGCCGAACTGACTTAACCCTTCCCTGCCTGGAGCTGCCTGTGTGGATTAACCCTGTGTTGCTGGTGTGGACTGTAGCCCTCTGTGTCCGGCTTCCCGCATCCAGTAAGTGGACTAACCCCGTGCTGCCCAAAAGACTGAGCCCAATTCTCCCCAGGAACCCAAAGTCCCCCAAAGCCACCCCGCCCTTGCCTTACTGAACCCTGTGGATTACCCTACCCCTGTTGTTCCATATTGCCTTCAAAAGAACTTTACTGTGTTACTGTGTCTGGTGTGGATCTGTGGACTAAAGGAACTGTTGTCTGTGCCCCAAAAACCTCCCCAATAAAAGCCCACACATTGGGTTCCGTGCAATCTGTCTCTGTGTGCTCTGTGGTTCTCTTGACACCCGATATGCTGGTGATATTTCTATTCCATATTCCAGAGTCAGGTGCTGGTGCTGTGAGGTGGAGAGACCTCCTGACTAATGCTGCCTGCATTGTTCCACCCTTCTAATGACACCCACTATGGGGAAAAGTCTTCCTTCCTCTGAAACCAATGATGGAGAATATTCTCATCTCTGATCAATGGTGCATAATGTTTTTCTTACCACTGACACCAATGCTGGGGTATTCTTCCTTCTATGGACTGTCATCTATTAGGAGGAATTTTTCCTGCCACTAATACTGTAAAATCCTTCTTCTGACCACTGACACTAAGGCATTTATTATCCCTCTGACCTCCAATGTGATGGCATTTTATGACCTCCTAAGAACAATAGCTAACCTCCATGTTACCCTCTGCACTCTATGTACAGAGCTTTCCCCATTCTCTGGAACTCTCTACCCCAATTTATCAGACTATCGCCTACTCTGCTCACTTTTAGGCAATCTCTAAAAATCTCTTCAGGGAAGCCTATCCTTCCCCTCAGCTAATACTGGAATCTTCTACTCTTCCAACCAGTCCATCCCCCACAATTACTACCTTTTGTACCACTAGCCCCTCCCTCCTAGATTGTAAGCTTCAGTTGTATTGAACTGTATTGTTGCTGTATTGTCTCCCATTATATTGTAAAGCTTTGAGCAAACTGTTGGCGCCATAAAATCCTGTGTTATAATAATAATAATAATTCTTTGCATGCTGTATGCTGTGCTGTACATTACACACCCCTTACCACTGCACTCTCTGTGATATGTGGTACATTACATACTGCTAACCACTGCACTATATGTTATGTTGTAAATTACATACTTCTGGCCACTACACTCTATATTCTATGTTGTACATTACACAGCTTTACCTCTGGCACTCTAGAAGCTGTGCTGTACATTACAATCTTCTGGTCATCTAGTTCATTGTCTCATCAGTTTCTGGTTACTATGTAGTTGCAAACTGTTCTAATGAAATCATTCATAAAGGTAGGCTCAGATAAAGTATTAGCTCCCTGCCCATATTTTGTGTGACGAAAAGCATATGCAATGGAAGAGTTTCCATGTTTTTTAAAATGGTCCTTTGTCCTTATGTGTATGTGTGTCTGTGAGAATGTCATTTGTGGCACAGTAATTACAGAATATATTGGGGGGTACTAGGGCTGTGGCATAAAATATGTGTGCAGTGTATACAGTCTCTGCACATAACATTAGGCCATTGCCAATATACAAGATAGTGAAGGTTATTTACTAAAACTGGAGGGTGCAAAATCTGGTGCAGCTCTGCATAGAAACCAAACAACTTCCAGGCTTTATTGCCAGAGCTTAATCGAACAAGCTGAAGTTAGAAGCTGATTGGCTCCTATACACAACTGCACCAGATTCTGCGTGCTCCAGTTTTAGTGGTTTCCCCCACTGTTGTCATGCTCCCTTCCCCCATGGAATGCTCTACGCCCCCATATATCATCTTCACACCAGTCTGTCCCTCTCTCGGGTTCTACATTCGCGATGTATGGTTACTGCACATTGCTTTGGACTATTGATAAAAAATATCACTGAGGTCATTTTAAAGGTTCATAAAATTTTACCAAGTTGAGCAAAAATCTCTCCTGTCTGGAACCTGTCCAGTGTTGGCATCCCCCGATTATCCACCATCAGTATTGACTCAGTGAGCTCATAAGGGTTTCTTCTAGTGGTCTTTGCTCCAAGGCTGCTTCCAGCCTCAGCGTGGGCAGCAAACTCTCCGCCATCGATTGACAAATTTGCAGGAGTTGATGAAGGAGGATTTCCCATTTCCCGGTAACCCGAAGAGCTGCAAGATGACCCGATTATAACCTTCATTTCCTTCAAAATCACGAAGACGGAAATTTCTGATGTTGTCGCTCATTCTGCAGCCTGTGGGATAGAACCAATGTGAGAAAGAAATATCTGTCAATAAAATCATTCACGGGAAGTCTGTGGAGGACATCATGGCTTTGCTTTTAAAGTACATCCCAATTCCAGCAATCTGGGAAGATGGTAATCCATTCCTAACTCTGGAATAACAGTTCTCAGTTCCAACCACAAAAAAATGTATTGATCTACAAGAAGGGATTATCTGTTGAATCAAGTAGTCTTTTTAAGAAGATGCAATAGCATTGTGGATCTCTCTTCCCTCTATATTAGTGGTCTCCAAACTGTAGCCCATAGGCCAAATGCCACTCTTTTCTTGCTATTATCCGGCCCCTGGGGAAGATTCTCATTTATACAAAACACAATTCCTCCCACTAACACCAATGATGGGGTGTAGCTGGCCAGCTAAGACCGGTCCTAGGTTGTTAATATGGTTCACATATATGTGTATACCAAACCTGCCAATAACCTCAGTACAGTATATATGTGTATATGTTAAAGCCAAAGCAGAATCATTGCTGTGATTTATATCTTTGATTGTTATATGACATTTATATATTCATTGTGTTAGCAGAAGCAGAAAAGGAAAATATGCCTTTAAGAGTTAGTATAAGGTGAGCCAATCACAGCCATCCTCACACTGTACAGAGCCTTAACCAATCCCAGCCAGTTTAATTTATTCCTGTGTAAAACTCCCTGCTAGGATTTTCTAGAGACACATGCTCACCAGACAGAGAGGGAAACAGACAAAGTTCCAATCAGAGAAGCTCCATGGAAGTACAGAAAGGCCAAATAGGTATTTAATGCACTTGTGTGTTCCTCTGTTGTTTAACAGTGCAGGTAGATCTGTGTCTAAAAACTGTTGTATGTGTTTACTTGTAGTTCCACTGAACTTTACGAATCGAATCAAGTCACTGTAGAGTAATCTAACAAATTTATAAATCCAAGTGAATTTATCAATCTATCGAAATATACAGAACAAATTTATCAAATCTATTGAACCTATCGAGATAAGCTATTGAATCAACCCAATGTAATACGAATTAAACCATTGTAATATGAAAGAAACAAGCCATTGTAAGCAGTTATATGAAGAAGATTGAAGTTATTAAAGAAGTTAACTAAAGTATTCAGTGCTCTTTAAACCTACTGCATCCATAGAGCGGCATTGGAGGAATTACAGAGTAAAGTCAGTCTAATCAAACAAAGAAACAGCAATTGCATCATTTTTCTAATGCCACAGCGCACTAGGCACGAAAGGGTGCTGCGCCTGCCACATGGGGCACTATTTCTTACACTGATATCAAAAACGGATCACTATTCCTTCTATTGACACCAATGGTGGGACACTATTCCTTCTATTGACAACAATGATGGGGCACTATTCCTTCCATTGACACCAATGATGGGGCACTATTCCTTCCATTGACACCAATGATGGGGCACTATTCCTCCTACTGACACCAATGATGGGACACTATTCCTCCTACTGATACCAATCATGGGACACTATTCCTTCTATTGACACCAATGATGGGACACTATTCCTTCTATTGACACCAATGATGGGACACTATTCCTTCTATTGACACAAATGATGGGGCACTATTCCTTCCATTGACACCAATGATGGGGCACTATTCCTTCCATTGACACCAATGATGGGGCACTATTCTTCCATTGACACCAATGATGGGGCACTATTCCTTTTATTGACACCAATGATGGGACACTATTCCTTCTATTGACACAAATGATGGGGCACTATTTCTTACACTGATACCAACAATATATCACTATTCCTTCCATTGACACCAATGATGGGACACTATTCCTTCCATTGACACCAATGATGGGACACTATATTCCTTCCATGACACCAATGATGGGACACTATTTTTTCCATTGACACCAATGATGGGGCACTATTCATTCCATTGACACCAATGATGGGGCCAGGGGCGGACTGACCATTTGGAAACTCGGGCACTGCCCGAGAGCCCGGGGTCAGTAGGGGGCCCCATGAGATGCCCCTGGTACCTTTTTCATAGGCTTTTTTGAGTTTGGGCAAGGACACAGGGGCCCCATGATCCTATATTGCCCGGGGGCCCCATGAGTTGTCCATCCACCCCTGGATGGGGCACTATTCCTTCAATTGACACCAATGATGGGACACTATTCCTTCAATTGACACCAATGATGGGACACTATTCCTCTATTGAAACCAATGATAGGGCACAAACTGACACCAATGATAGGGCACTATTCCTCCAACTGACACCAATGATGGGGCACTATTCCTCCAACTGACACCAACAATGGGGCACTATTTCTCCTCCTACTGATCCAGTTGCTAATTTGTTTACTCCCACTGATAACTAATCGTGAGGAATTTTCTCATTCCACTGGCCACAGTCTGGCTGCCTAAAGTCTGAAGATCAGTAATCTGACTCCTTGCTTAGAAAGCATGGACACCCCCTCTACATGGTAGAGTATTTCATAAAAGGAATACTAACCCTTGCCTACCAGGGCACTTATACCCCCTTATTTTACCAGGCCAATTTTCAGCTTTCAGCGCTGCCGCACTTTGATTGACAATTGCGCGGTCATGCAACATTGTACCCATATGAAATTTTAATCATTTTTTTCTCACAAATAGAGCTTTCTTTTGGTGGTATTTAATCGCCACTGGGCACTTTACTTTTTGCGCTATAAATAAAAAAAAAGTGCAAAAAATTTGAAAAAAAAAAAGTTTATTTGTTTTTTTTATAAAATTTTTCAAACAGGTATTTTTTTCTCCTTCACTGATGTGCGTTGATGAGGCAGCACTGATGGGCACTGATAGACGGCACTGATGGGCACTGATAGGCAGCACTAAAGGGCACTGATAGGCAGTACTAATGAGGTGGCACGGATAGGCGGCACTGATAGACAGCACTAATTAGGGGTCACGGATAGGCGGCACTGATATGCAGCACTGATAGGCGGCACTGATAGGTGACACTGATTATGGGTACTGATAGACGGCACTGACTGGCATCACTGCTGGGCACTGACTGGCGGCACTGACTGGCACAACCCCTGGGCACTGACTGGTGGCACTGACTGGCAGCACTGCTGGGCTGCACTGGTGGGTGGCACTGGTGGGCAGCACTGGTGGGTGGGCACAGGTGGGTGGCACTGGTGGGCACAGGTGGGTGGCACTGGTGGGCACAGGTGGGTGGGCACAGGTGGGTGGCACTGCTGGGCACATGTAGGTGGCACTTCTGGGCACAGGTAGGTGGCACTGCAGAGTGGCACAGGTGGGTGCACTGCTGGGCACAGGTGGGGGCACTGCTGGGCACAGGTGGGTGCACTGCTGGGCACGGGTGGGCGGAGCTAGTGGGCGCACTGCTGGGCGGAACTTGCGGGTGTCACTGCTGGGCACCGATCATCAGGGCACTGATCATCATCATCCCCGCTCTGACAACTGCCGGTTCTCGGCAGTACTTTCCTCACGATCTGACAGCGTGAGGAAAGTGCAGCCGAGAACCGGCACTTGCATTTCCCTGTGATCAGCGTGTCATTGGACACCGCTGATCACGTGGTAAAAGGCCGCTGTGATTGGCCTTTTACCACATCACGTGATCAGCTGCGTCCGTAGGATGCTTAGGAAACATTTGTAACTATCTGTGGCAGTCTGGACAAATTAAATTGTGTTTAATTGCAGATTGACTAAAGCACTGGTGTCCAACCTGTGGCCTGAGGGCATCATGACAACCCCTTTGGTACTTGTTGTGTGGCCCTTGGTTCTCAGGAGGCAGGAATGGGTTTATAAATATTGTTTTATAAATGGGCTGTTATGACAGTGATCTGTAACCAGAGATATACAGAAAGGACCATCAGACCAAAAAACCGGTTGCTGAGAAACAACTAAGCTCCAATGTTACTCCACATGGAGAATTCTATACAAGTTCTAATATAGTTCTGTGGAGTCGTTGTCATGCAAAGTGTCTAGCTAACCGAGGCACGCACGTGCGGCCATGACTTGAGATTAGAGGGAATAAGGGGGACTTAACTTTGAATATATAAAACCGTATATAAGACCAGCCGTGATATACTTTCACAGCCCACACTACCTCTTGGCCATCACCGGAGGCAGACTCCACTCCAATCCAGCTGGTCGACCACACACTGGCAGATACAAATCTTACATACAACCTGATGCCCTAACTAGGGTTGAGGAGCAGCCTAGCAATCGACACACCCTTCTAGGATCCCTCCAGCTACCTACAGCTGGGCCTCGTTAGGAGGAAGTAGGTGTGGCTGCTGCACAGACTGCTGGAGGAGCAGAGTTTGTGTCTCTGCAGGCAATTTAGGCCAAACTTGAAGCCTGGGCCTTTATTTTACTGCTAGGCCCCCAAGGCTGGATGGCCGAGCCCGGCCGTGATCCGGGCGGGGGACCCCCCCCCCCCCCCAGGGTGAGCCTAGTACCGGTCCCATGGAAGTGGAGGACCTGGGAAGTGCCCCCAAAGAGAGGGGAAAAGCTACGCTACATATCGTGGGCGAGTGACTGCTCATGTGGCCAGAATCAAGAAGGAAGAGGAGAAGCTGAATAAGATGCGGCTGGATCTGAAAAAGAAAAGATCCGGGTATGAGCGGGTGTGGAGCACCAAGAGGCAGCTGATGAGGCCCGAGATGGACGCCATGGAGCAGGCTGTCCGTCGGCAGGCCAACCTCGTGTCATCCCTGAAGCAAGCCAGCGGGGTCCTGAGGGAGAAATTCTCCAATGAGGAGCGCTTCAGACAAGCCAGGGAACGATCGATGGCAGCGGTGAGAAGTCGACCTATGGAGGAAGTCTCATCTGGGGACCTATCAGAGCCAACCAGTCAGAGCGCCAGTGTCGTCGGATGGGCTTTCCCCAACCGGAGAGAGAGCGCACCAATGGTGGTGGAGGTCTCAGTGGTTCTGGAGGCCGGAGCGGAGCAGAGTCGCCAGGAACTATCCCTGCCCAGCAGCAGCCGCAACTGGAGTGGGGGTCACAGGTGACTCCCGAGCAGATGGTGCGGGTAGGGCTACGCTTCATAACGGAGTTGGAGTCTCCGCTACATGGCCGGCACTTTGCCTTCACGTCTGAGGAGTCTGGTGATGAGGAGGTGTAGTAGTCGGCAGAAGCCGGTGAAGCAAAAAAGGGAGGGAGAAAGGCTGTGTATGTGCGGCTGGAACAAAACCCCAGTGAGCTGTTGCCAAAGGAGCAGAGCGGGAGGGGAAGTAATGCTGCAGGGGAGCAGGTTGCTGTGCAGAACATTGCTCCAGTGGGGGAGGTGTCAGCAGCTTGTGCAGAGTATTGCTCCCACGGGTAATGTATCAGCTGCTGTGCAGAGTATTGCTCCAGTGGGGGAGGTGTCAGCTGCTGTGCAGAGTATTGCTCCAGTGGGGGTGTGTCAGCTGCTGTGCAGAGTATTGCTCCATGGGGGTGGTGTCAGCTGCTGTGCAGAGTATTGCTCCAGTGGGGGTGGTGTCAGCTGCTGTGCAGAGTATTGCTCCAGTGGGGGTGGTGTCAGCTGCTGTGCAGAGTATTGCTCCAGTGGGGGAGGTGTCAGCTGCTGTGCAGAGTATTGCTCCCACGGGTAATGTATCGGCTGCTGTGCAGAGTATTGCTCCCACGGGTAATGTGTCATCTTATGTGCAGAGTATTGCTCCCACGGGGTAATGCTCCTTCTATGTCAAGTGTTGTGAAGGGGGTGTCTGCCTCCTCTCCCCCCCCTGTACTGGATTATTCTGCTGCCCTAAGAAGGGGGCAGGCTGCGGTGCATCCGCCTGTAGTAACCATGGGGGGGCCTGCGGCACAAAGAAGGAACGTTGTGCAGATACAATGGGAAGGAAAAGCCCCGCCCCCAATCAGAAGGGAAGTGGTGGATCGCATCATTGAGATGGGCTTTAGGGCTCATGACATATTTGCCTTCATAGCCCCATTGGGGTCTGGCGAATATGACATTTCTTTTCAGAGTCCGGAAGGTCTAGAAACATTCTGGATAAAGTTTGAGAACCAGTGTAAAGGGGACCCCCAAGGTGGGAGGGGCTAGTACCTAAAGTTGGTGTCGCGTCAGTCGCTAACCAAAAATGTAACCATCTTGGTGAGGAATGAAACCATCCCCGGCAGCTGACATTACTATATGGTTGGGGAAATCGGTTATGGGGATGTCTTGGCCCCCATAAGGAAGATTACAGATGATAGGGGGACATGGACAGGTGGGGGACATGGACAGGTGGGGGGACATGGACAGGTGGGGGGAATATGGACAGGTGGGTGGGCAGCAACAGTCAGACTACATACGGAGGATAATAAGATCAAGCATGTGCCCACTTCAGCATTCCTAGGGAGAGACAAGGCTGACCATTTTTTACGCTGGCCAGCCTAAAGTCTGCCACCGGTGTGGAAACAAGGGGCACTTTGCAGCGACAAGTGTGAAATCCTGAAATGTTCTCTGTGTCAGGGGATGGGGCATACAGCCAGAGAGTGTCATTTAATAAGTGTAATCTTTGCCAACAGCTGGGGCACTCATACAGTAAGTGCCCAGAGGCACTCCACAATTTATCCGGGCTCATGGAGGAGCTGGACCGGATGGATGCTGAGGAGGGGGTGAGGAGCCACCCCCCCCGCCCCCTTCCTCGGATAGATCTGACACCGAGGGTTCTTTGGTGCTGTCGGTGCCTGTTGTGACACCTAATGTGTCTGTACCCTCTCCCTCTGGAGAGTCTCCCACTGTCTCTGTGTCCCCCCAAATATCTTTCCCAGTGTTGTCTACCCCTTCCCCCAGTGTTCCTATCCCCCCCTGTTAGGAAAAACCGAGGCGTTGGAGCCAAGAAGGCATCTGGAGCGCCTTCAGTGATGCCTCCCCCCGTACTTCTCCCACGGCGTCGCGCCGAAAATCTGGTGGTGATCGTGGTGGCGTCTGAGGTGGTCTGGAAAGAGGCAGGATTGATATCTGTCCCTAAGGAAGGTGGGTTAAGTAAAGTGACCAAGGGGGAGCGGTGGTCTGTGGTTGGGAAGGGAGGTAGCAGGTAGTAGGGTTGTCCCCTGCATCGTCTGTTTCCTCTTTGGAAGTAGAGATTATATCTGGCAACAAGTTTGAGGTCCTCTCCGGGGAGGAAGGGGATTCTGGAGGTACCCTCTCCCCTATGGATGATGGGGTTGGAAAGGGAACCCAAAAGAAACTCAGGTCCTCTGCAAAGCAGAGGAAGACAAAGGCTAAGAAACGACCATCTCAATTACCTTGATGGCAGTTCCCACTCCGATAAATGTGGCAACCATCAATGTTGCCAGCATAAAGTCTGTAGGTGCTAGAAGTGTGGCCTTATTTTTGCTCAGCAGTATTTGTGCTGATGTTTTGTTTTTGCAAGAGACCAGGCTCAGCAGTCTGGCTGATGTCCATCTGGCAAAGACTGAGTGGAGGTGTGGTCCCTCCTTCTGGTCTCTTGCGGCCGAGCCTTACAGCGGAGTTGTGGTACTTTTTTCCGGCATGGTAACGTGTCGGCGGGTCATTGAGGTGGGAGATTGGAAGATGTATGGTCCTGGACGTCCTTGTGAAGGGGCAAGAGCTAAGGCTCATTAATATCTATGATCCCCAGTCTACGTGGGGTAGGAAATGCCTCTTTACAAAGATTAAGCCTTTCCTTTTTACGTCCCGACAAGTTGTCTTTGGAGGAGACTTTAATACTGTCACTAGGCTTAAGGACAGGAAGGGCTCCAATGACAGGCTGGAGTATGACAGTGTTTTTTTAAAATGCGATAGTTAGGGAAGCAGGTCTGGAGGATGCCTTAATTAAGCGCAGCCCGGACAGCACGGGATTCACTTTAGGCGAGGTAGAAGTGAGAGTAGAATAGATAGGTTTTTTTTTAAAGGGGGACTCCGCCTTCTCGGCACCTGTGTGTCAGGCGGTGGAGTTTTCCGACCACCTTTTGCTGACTGTGTCTTTGAATATTTCAGATACGCCACCTAAGGGGAGGGGTGTCTGGAGATTTGAATTCAACTCTGCTGGACGATGAGGAGGTGAGACGATCCTTTGAGGATTTTTTTCAAGCTCAGGAGACCATCCTGGATTTCTGCAGCAGTAAGTCGGAGTGGTGGGAGCTTATCAAAGTGCGGATTGGCAGGTTTTTCAAGGCCCTAGGTAAGAAAAAAACAATTTGATAAGTATGTTGCCTACCAACAGCTGCGGAGGAAGCTTGATCGCCTTGTCTCTGAGGGTGGAGATTCTGGGGCAATCTCAGAGGTTAAGCTTCTTCTCCTGAAGAAGTATCAGTATGACCGGCATACCTCTTTGGTTTTGGAGAGGACTATGGGAAATACCTTTCCCCTGACCCTTACCAGAACTGCAAGCAAGGTATAGCGATTAAAACGGTCACCGGTCTGAGAGATAGTACGGGATCTCTGACGAAATCCAGGTCAGGGATCTTGGAGGTCTCAAGGGCATTCTTTGAAGATCTCTTGGGGGAGAAGCACCTCGACCAGGCAAGGATGTCAAGCTTTTTGGAGTCTACGCCAGGACGAGTCTGGAAAACAACATTCCACCCACAAGTTTGACAGGTGAGATCACAGCTGAAGAGGTAGTCAAAGCCATAGATAGTCTGGCCATCAGGAAGACGCCTGGGCCAGATGGCTTGACAGCAGAATTCTTTAAAGATTTTTAAGTCCAGCTTGGCACCTCTCGCCTTGCAGAGGTCTTTAATAGCTGTCTGGATGAGGGTTTTCGCTCCCTCCCTCCATGAGGAAAATTGGCTGTGATCTTGCTGTCAAAGGGTAAGGACCCTTCGATGATTGAGAATTGGCGCCCCATCAGCCTTCTCAATGTCGATAGGAAGAGATTCTGGCCAAGATCCTTTTCTGGCCGCTTGTCGTCGAGTGGCAGACGGGGTTACTTTCGCAGCGTCAGCACTGCTCGGTTCAGGGGCAGAAAGTGACGTTTACAGCGGTGTTAGCTGTCCGGGAGGTTCTGGAGCAATGCTAGGGCTGATGGCAGTCGGTGAAGTATTTGCTGGGCGCTGGATCAGGACAAGGCCTTTGATCGGGTAGATCATAAGTACCTTCTGGTCATCTCCTTGACCAGTATGGCCTGGAAGTGAGGTTTATTGGCTGGTTTGAAAACATTGTACAGAGGGGCGGAGAGCTTCATGATTGATCAATGGTTGGGTTGGGCGACCCTTTGAGGTTGGCTCTGGGGTGCGCCAGGGGGTGTCCGCTGAGTCCCTTCTGCTCTATGCCTTTGCCATTGACACCCCTTCATTCACTGAGGAGGCTAGATGGCGGGGCTTTGGGTGGGGGTGTGCCGGTGGGGGCTACTGGTTGAGCCCGCTTGAGATAAGTCGTGGCCTATGCCGATGACCAACGTGTCTGTTTTCATCTCTGGGGACTGAAGAGGCGCAGGAGGTGGTCTCAGAGATGGAACAGTATGCGGTAGGCATCAGGCTCCAAGATCAATCGTGAGAAAAGTGAATTTTATCTGGATGGGTAGGGAAGGTGAGAATCTTCTCGCTACCGGATACCTTCCCGGCTCAGCCCCAGCCAAGATCAAAGTGTTAGGCATCACATTTTTGGCCCTGGATGATTATGGGTAAATCGAATTGGGAATTATAACAGTGTTGTCTGATGCCGAGGTTAAAGTGAGTATGCTGGAAGGGGTTGGCGGAGAGACTCTCCCTGAAGTAAGGAAAGGGTCAAATCTAAGATCAAGACCTCACTGATTCCAGTCTTTTTGTAATTACGTCAGTTACATTTCCGAAAAAATTCGTTGCCAGAGTGGTCTCTCTATACGAGGGTCTCAACTCACAGCTGTTTCTTTCAGTCTGTATTATGGCGGAAACAGACTGCAACCTAAGTGAAGGGAATGTGACCTAGTTGCCACCGTTAAGGTTCGGTCTGGGGGTGGTTAGGATGGTAAACCACAATTGTTTTCTTCTCTGTTAATGTTTGTAAAACATAATTTGGGCTGGTAATATGTTGAGAGAAGCCACCTGCATGTTAGGTGGGTTATTTCGGGCTGGGTGGTTTAAACCCTTTCTGAGGACATGTTGGGAGAGTGGCGGGTAGTGAGAGTAAGATGTCTGAGAGTCCAAGCACGGTAAGACCTCCCGGCTTATGTTTGCCCTTAGTTTGGAAATACTGGCGGGGGGTGTTTGACGGGAGGAGGTCAGATCTGTTCCTGGGGTAAATTCCTCATGAGAGGGTCGTAACAGCCACTGTTTTCATGCATCGCTGGCCTTGAAGGATTGCCCAGGGCCAATATCGCGGAGGGGCTTGAGGGAATTAGGGGGAGTCGGCTTAGAGATAGTTTTCTACTCTAGTTAGAATAGTTAAACAATAACATTCGCGTAATATGAGATTGGGGTTTTTGGTTAGCACCACCTGATGGGTGGGGTTATTTTCGGGCTTGGTAAATAAAGGTTGGAGTATGTTGTGGCAGTGATGAAGCACTGTGCACAAAAAAAAAATGTGAAGATCTAAGTTTTGGAGAGGGGTGGGGATTAGTAGGTGGGGGGCGGGGGAGGTCAGATGATTTCCTGGGGGGGTTTATTCCTGGGTGAGTTTTGGGTTTTTTTTTAAGAGGGTTGGCCACTCGTTTGTTCTATGCTACACGCTGGGCCTCTTGAATGTATAATTAAACAATGCCCAGGCCCATTATTTCGCCGGGATAAAGTGCTTTTTAGGATAAAGATTATGGAAGAAAGGCGATGGGGATCTTTGTTGAAGTTTCAGGTTGGGCGACCAGGAATGGCTCGCATTCCATGGCAGGCTATATGTGAGAGGGAACTTGAAGTGCCGTTCTCTGGAACAATACCGTGGTTGTCCTAGGACGGAGTGTGGGGGTGAAGTGGAGACTATGGACCACTTCTTGCTTCAGTGCCCTTTCAATATAGAGGTATACAAAGAGGTGGGGAGGGCTCTAAACATCCCCTTCCTGCACTGCGTGTCATTATGCAGAGTGGGTATATGGGGGCATTTGAAATACGACATGTGGATTTTGACTTTGACACTCTCTTTTTCTAGTTTGTCTAGTGGTCCGATATTTCACTTGGAATGCACGGTGTCAGGTTTCCATTCGGCAGAAAAATCCTTCCTGTCTCGGTGGGTGGTATATGACATTCTTGGTGAGGTTGGGGAAAATTCGGGTCTGAGAAAGACAGACTGTGGCGAAGGCTGGGCCTGGATAGAGGCGTGGAGGAATATCAGGTCTGTAGCCGCTGTCTGTTGATCTCTGGGTGAGGATGCTGTTCTTTTTTTTTTTTTTCTCTGAGTGTTCCACTCCCTTAGATTTTGGATGAAGAATTTTTGAAGAGAGGCTACGTACATTTGAAGACCTGCATTTCTCAGCCTTTGTTCTGCATTTTTGTTTTGTGTGTTTAAATATATTTATGATTATGATATGGCCAAAAGGGCCTAAGTATGTGTATAGGTGGATGAGGCATAAAAGCCTCATTTTTTTTTACGTCTGACAGGCCGAAAGGGCTTTTGGTCAAAAAGCCTGATAGACTGAATAAGCTGCTGTTAAGATTTTTCCCTCCCCGAATCTCAGACAGGCCAAATGCCTCGTCATGAGTGATATGGGCCATAATGGCACCGCCCCCTACCTTTATTGGCCGAAAGGACCTTTGTGTGAAAACTTATCTGCATAGCGGAAGACTCCCATACAGGCCAGTGCTGTGATATAGGCCATAAAGGCCCTGACATTTTTTTATATTATGCTTTCCTATTTTTTGCCATAAAGGCGTATATCGGTGTGTTATAATTTTGATTATGCTTTGTGAATTATTACTGTATTTAGTTTGATCTTTGTTTAGAACCAGTCGTATGGTATTTTGTATTTATTTATTTATTTGTATATATCAACTTTATATTTTGTAAGAAAATGTTTTTTGTTGCTGGTGGCAAGACCTTTTAATAAAAATATTTCCAGCTACCTACAGCTGAGTGTCGTTAGGAGGAAGTGGGCGTGGTGCTGCACAGACAGTGTGTGTGTATGGCTGTGTGAGGTCCTGCTAGGCCTCAGTCTGAGCCAGGACTAAATTTCTGGCACTACCCAGGAGAGGATGGCCGAGCCTGGCCATGATCCAGGAGGAGGGACCCCTGGGGCTCCTAGTACCGGTCCTGACATGCCAGCTATTGAGGACCTGGGAAAAGGCCCTAAAGGAGGGAAATCGTATGCGGATTATCGGGGCCTTGTGGCCTATGCCCATGTGGCAAGGATCGGGAAGGAGAAGACAAGCTGGTCAGAATGAAAAATGACCTCAGGAAGTTCAAGTCATCTATGATCGTGTGTGGGGAGCACAAAGCGGCAAGCTATGAAGCCTGAGCTGGAGCGTATGGAGCAGGCAGTGCGCCAGCAATGTGATCTAGTGGAGACCCTGAAAGCATCCAGCGGGTTCATGCGGGAGAAATACATGAATGAGGAGCGTTTCAGGCAGGCCCGTGACAGATCCCTAGCGGTCTCGAGGGGCCAGATCGGAGAGGCGGTGTCATCTGGGGACCTGTCAGACCCCCCAGGTGAGGTTGGAGAAGGCAGCACAGTTGCTTCTCAGCATGCTGGAGAATGTTTAAATACCGGAGGGTGAGTCGGAACCCATCCCCCCTCAGCAACAGCGGCCTAGATTGGGGATCCCAGGTGGAGCAGGAGGAGGAGGTTGGTGCCATGGAATTTGTGACTGCATTAGAGTCCCCCCCCATGCGTGGACGGCAGTTCGCATTTTCAACTGATGACACTGTGATGAGGCAAACAAGTGCCCTAGGCCACTGAAGCCAAAAAAGACTGAGAAATTGTTTTTTGTAAAGCAGGAAAAACTTCCCAGCAAGATGGAAAACAGTTGCAAATCGCAGGAGGGGGAGGTGGTGAAGCCGCAGTTGAAAGCCTCTCCGGCTCCTGCGGGGACTGTATGTGATGTGTCGGACCACTTGTGTGGTTTGTGTGTGACAAATCTGCAGCAAATGCAAATATTGATAATATGGGAGCTTCATGTGAGGCCAATTTGGTTGGTGCAGTGTCTGCTGCGGCCAGTATAGCCCCATCCCTCAGCCGCTGCAGGCCCAGTCTCAGCCCCAGTCTCAGTCCCAGCTCCAGGCCCCGTCTCAGCCCCAGTCTCAGCCCCAGCTGCAGGCCCCGCCTCAGCCCCAGCTGCAGGCCCCCGCCTCAGCCCCAGCTGCAGGCCCCGCCTCAGCCCCCAGCTGCAGGCCCCGCCTCAGCCCCAGCTGCAGCCCCGCCTCAGCCCCAGCTGCAGGCCCGTCTCAGCCCCCAGCTGCAGGCCCCGTCTCAGCCCCAGCTGCAGGCCCCGTCTCAGCCCCAGCTGCAGGCCCAGTCTCAGCCCCAGCTGCAGGCCCAGTCTCAGCCCCAGCTGCAGACCCAGTCTCAGCCCCAGCTGCAGGCCGTCTCAGCCCCAGCTGCAGGCCCAGTCTCAGCCCCGGTTGCCAAGGGAGCCCTGAGCTATTCAGCGGCTTTAAAAAATAGACAGGGGGTAGCAAGACCACCGAGGGTCAGGCAGGGAGATCACCCACCAACTATAAAAAGAAGGAACGTTGTCCAGCTAAAATGGGGACGGAGGAAGAGCACCACCGAACCAAATTAGAAGAGATGTTGTTGACAGAATGTGAAGAAGCTGTCAGAGAACTGTCAGAAATAG